CAGGCCTGCCGGCTGCCGAGGAGCGTTTGAGGGCGGGGCCCGTGGGTTTCTAACGTCGCCTTCGGAAGCCCAGAGAAAAAGCTTTCTGAGCCAAGCTGCGGCCTATGTTTGGCCAGTGCAGGAGTGATGCCGACGCAGTAGGGCTTTGAAGGCGGGGGTGGCTGCTTAACGTGGCATGCTGGGGCTTTCGTTTGCATTGCCACCCGTTCCACCCTCCGGTGTCCCTGGCGCCGCCCCGCTTAGGCAAGGGCTAAGCAGGGGTCGGCGGATATTCTTTTCACTATTTTTCACTCCCCTCTGAGACGGAGACTGACATACACACACTCTCTCTCTCTCTCTCTCTCTCTTTGTGTCTGTATTTCTTTCTCGATATCACTCTCCACCTTACTGTGAAACAGACAGTTTTGGGAGCGTGGAGCTTGTCTTGTTTTGGGAGCGTTCGCAGGAGCGGACTCACATACTCTCTATCTATGCGACTTCGTAGGTGGAAGACTTCTTGGAGCCCAGCAAGGCTGATGCACGAGAAGCACGAGAAACATGCCATTCACAGCAACCTGAACATGGGACACCTGAGGTGTATTTCTCATATCTTCACCCATCTATCCTCGAGAGACCCTGAACATGGACACTTCGAAAACTAGAGGTCTTTTCCGGCGATTCGTTGTAAATCCTCGGGGCAGTTGTACCACTTAGGACTGCAGTCCTCAACTCGCACAGTGCGACCGGGGCGCCCAAGGATTGCCCAACGCCTTCAGGGCGACAACGTTCTGACGATCAACCCCGGGTAAGCTGAGGAAGGGACCCACCTGCCACCAGTTGTGTTTGTCTGGACAGGAAGGGAGCTTTCCACAGCCGATGCTAGGCTGTAATAGACACACACACACACACACCTCTTAAAGTAGCTGTCAGTCGCTAGGCTGGAAGGCAAGAAGGCTGTCAGTCGACATGTCTTCTTTCGAGCCATACACATGCTGCCAGCTTCATCAGCTGTGACGAACGCTCAAGTGGCATGAAGACGAACGCAGAGGCAGCATTCCCCCATCAGAATTGTTCAGATCTATATAACATCCCTCAAGGACAGAAGATAGATTCTCGTGATACCCCTGGTTTTGTGAGAGTGATTGCAACCTCAAGTCAACGATGCTGGACCACATGCACTCAGCTATTTTGCAGGGAAAGGGGAAAGGTACCGCACCCCTATGCCAAAGGCATCTAAGGATTTCTTTCTCAGTGGTGCAACAGAGAAACCCTCGAGCGTGTTGAGTTCCTGGGCGGATCGTTTGAGGCGCGTGAAGGATTTGGTGGGAGGGGCCTGCAAAGCAACTACTGCCTGCACAAACGAGCTGATTCATCGATGACCACCATGCTTTTGCGGGGACGCACAGATGTTGCGGGTAGAATACCCTTTGTGCCTGGTATAGAAGTGCTAATGTCTATATATTTGGAACAAGTCAGTTTGTCCAAGAAGATGACCATTTCCACACCTTCTTTTCAGTTAATATGAGGCAAGAACATCCCCAAGCAGTTGTTTTGCTGTCTTCCCTTCTCTTTACCAGGGGTATTTGGGATTTCCCTAATTCCACTACAGATCCCAGGAGTTTGTGACTTTGTTTTGCTGCTGTTGGACATCTTTTTTTGGTATGCAAGTTCACCGGTTTCAACTGCAGCGTATATGGATGGAATCAGGACCGTCATTTGTCCTTTCCTGTCTTACTAAGCGATAGTTTGGTTAAAGTTACTGTGCCCTCACAGCTAATTTGTTGATATGCGGAGACAAGAAAATGCTTCACCAACTTGAGCCAACCACTTTGGACCTATACGAGGTACCATACTCCTCGGTGGCCTCTTGCATGAGGCTCGGTGAAGGGTTTCCGCGAGCTGCGGACACCTCTCCATTCCCCATCCCTAGCCAACGGATGACCTGATGACCTGGTTGACCTGGTTTTGTCTATGAATAGCTTTGGTGAGACATTAAAATATCTCGGCGGTCGGGCGTGGTTGGTAACGGGTGGTTTAGTTATGGGTGCAGCTGGCCAGTGGGTGCACTCGATGGACAGGATCTGGTCGTGGTAGAGACATACAATCTCATTTGCATTTCTTAACCCCCATAGGATATGGATCCATAAACCAGATCTGGCCAGTTAGCCCCTATAATCTCGTTTATGGATCTGATTTGTTGGATTTTCGACACTTTATCACAGTAAAACCAAATAAATGGACCGAAGAATGAGGAAAGCAGTTCGGTCTTGGACCGAGGTTTAATTTTTCCTCCGCGGCCGGGCAGTGACAACCTGTGACAACCACCAGCACCACGGATTCCGGGTGTCCATTAATAGCCCGGAAAAGAGGTCAAGGGGTGTCCATTAACCACCCCTTGGGGGTCCAGGCAAGAAGACATTTTGTTCGAAGACACATGGTTTTGATCACTTAGTCATTCTTGAAAGGGGCTTTTCCTCTAAATCCCTCTGTGGGTCAAAGGATGACGACCTTCCCCCTAAAAAGATCTGCACACCAATTGATTAAACCGCCGTCTATCCCCTGGTCTCTCCGTGTACCACGCTACCCAGGTCTCTCGCTTGTGGGCAGACCTGGGTCTCGGTCGGTCGCTTCCCAGGTGGCCTGGGCCACGTGGGCCACGGAGTGCACATCGACTGACTGCGTTGGTCTCCGCATACCTCTGGGGCCGTCCAGGCCCGATGTGCCCAAGAAACGTGTGTTCTTGCGAAGCTCCAGTACAGTAAAGTTTTGTTTCAGTATACTACCAGGTGTTCGTGATTGGTCATGGATGGATAGACTCATAGAGGATGGGGAGGTTGTTCACCTATGAGTCTATGAGTGAACTTTCTCATGTGGTATGGGTCTGGGCAAATACATGACACCTCGATCAGTGTCGACCGCTCTGTTCATGAATGACTGGGCTGTTGGCTATCCAGACTTGCAGCATGGCTCTCGCTACCATTGCATGGAATGGAATGTGAATCGGATGGTTAGTTTTGGGTTTGACCTTCCGACATTTTCTCGACATGAAGGCTAGAGTGAACGCAGGTGACGCACCATCCCCCTGGCAACATGCAAACAATGACGTTACACGTGTGATGATCCCTGGACGTGGACATTGAGGCTTCTCCTTCAGTGCGATGGCCTCTGGTGGGGGGCCAAGTGGCCTCGGACTCGTGTTCCGTGGACAGGACGTTTCCAAAAAACCGCAAGAACGTCTTCTCCCTAGTAGCTTCTTGTTACTGTACTCGTAGCGGCCTCCAACCTAGCGATGGCCACCGTGCGTAGCGTCCTCTGTTACTTTAGATTTGTGAGTTGCTCGGATTCACAAATCTAAAGTAACTCTAAGATAGAACTCTAAGATTCACAAGTCCTTCATTGACTCCTCATCCGTCGACATGTTGGGAGCGGACAAGGGTCCTCCGGGCCCTCCATCTTGCTCGGGGTTCACAGGTCCAAAGGGGATGATGAAATCAAAAGAAGGCGAACTGGACTTGATGGTGGAGGGCGAGTCAATGTCTATCAGAACTTTTTGCGGAGACCAGATGGAGAGATTTTCCTTGAAGGCCTATATGGCCATGCAGGCTGAGTGTTTTTGTGTGAGTGCTGCAATGCCTTCGAGCTTCAATATTGCCTTTTCAGAGTCCTGCGATGCCTCCCATAAGACATGCTATCCATTGTTCGTTTCTTGACACTTTCACACGCCGATCAAGATGTCTTTCTTCCATTCTTCCGTTTGGATCCCCCTCAACCTCAACTTGATGAATGCTGCCATGTCTTTCTCCCCCCAGGCTCACCCGAAGCGGACATCACGTCAACACATCCGCGACGAGACACGACGCCTTGTCGGTCGGCTTCCCATGTCTCCATGGAGCGCTTTCTGGTGCGCAAGCGGCCGCGCACCGAAGGTGGGTGACCCGGGGAGACGGAAAAAGAGTTGGCCTATTTGGACAGATCTTCCATCCTTCGCATCTCACAGCATCTCCAGTATGCCTGAGCTCATTACACGTGCAGTTGGTTCATTAGCACCTGTCACAGGTGCTGGTGACAACTGCACGTTGCCAAATGAGGTGCAGGCGATCTGGACCCGAGAACCCAGCGAGTCCACTCGCGTGGAAAAACGACGGGAACCGAGAACGAGTCTTTTTGATCGCACGGTGATTTCGCGTGAACTTCCTCTTGAATATGACGGTTGATCAACTGAGGCTTGCTGATCTGAACGGGACGTGCCTTTCGTAGGTTTTTTCGTCCTGTTTTCCACAACCCCGGTTTTGGTGGGTGCCAGTGCTGGCAGTCACATGTTCTTCACAGGTTCTTCACATGTTTCTGCCGGTCCTCCCCCCGCAGAGAAGCCACTCCTGAACAGCTGATGCGCAGGCTGAGCAGCACACGGAGAAGCCGGACGTCAACGGCGCGATGCTCGGACGCTTGAGTGGTGTTTGTCAAGTGATGTAGATACCTGTACCACTCACCAACAAGCTTTTTCAGGGTCTGTTTCAAAGCAAGTCGTTTGAACGGGGCGCCAGGTGTAGGATATTCTCAGCATATCTCAGCATCATGTCAGAGTTGATGGCAAACCCCTAGATTGGCCATGGGTCATTCCAGATGGGAATAGTGTTTCATTTTCTTCATGCACCTTGGCCCTGCTCCAGGGCCCAGGGCTCCTGATCGCCTGTCCGCTTGCGTCTCGGCTGATCGCGGTCCCCATGAGGTGGAGCTCTGGACGATCCCGAGAAGGTGATTTCTTGGATGCTCGGTGGCGAGCAGGTAGGTCCGTGAGGGAACTGGAGTCAGCGACCGTGACGAATGAGATGAAGATTCCTAAGGGGTTTGGTCTCCGGAAACTTAACTCAAAATGAAGTAAGCGAACAGATAAGCACATGTATCAGCAGTATCTCATCGCAACCATCAAGTGAGGTTTTGTGGTTTGTCCAGCCTCAAATCCCAATTGATAGGAATTGGAGTATCATATAAACATGTGTGTGTGTGGTTGATTGTGGTTGCCTGTGTGCGGTGTGCTGTTCGGCCTCTGCTGAAACCACCAATTCGCAACGCCCGTTCTTCGCACCTTGGCCGAAGGAACGTCAACGGCCTGGTGGTGCGGCTGCGCAATGATTGGAGACCTCGCAGCAGTTTTGGGCATCAGTCAAATCGTTTTCGGTGAAAAGCCCTCAGTCCTGGTAGTGGATGGGCTGGGCACCCCAGGTAGTGGAGGTCAAGCATGGGTGTCAGGGGGGTTCTTAGCCATGTAGCCATGTGGATCAAAAGACCACTGATGGCTTTCTTTGTAGATTGACCAAGGAGCCAGATGAAGACATTCCTGGAGAGTGAGCAGCCAGAGACTCGTAAATACGATTCCTGGGACGAAGTTGTGCGAATCGCGGAACTGGCAATTGCTGCCCGCAATATGAGAATGTCTCAAGTGAGAGGATGCAGGAGTCTATTTGGGGGATTCCCATAGTTTTTTTGGGGGTTGTAATATGGATGCCAGGGATGCCCAGTGGGATATACTTAGAGAGATGTCCTGCTGGGTGTTGGGATGTACAAGATGCTTCCGGGAGATGGCAAGTATAAACATGGCCAAATGGTTTCGTGTGTGCAACGAACAGGAAGGGTAATGTGGGCAGAATTCTTGTTTGCAGTACGTTCGATGGTGTGAGCTCAGAATGTGGTCTCCTGTAAGTCTTAGCAGTAGAAGCTGGAAACTGCCCTGTCTGAGTAGGACATGATTTGTTGCTATGTTTAACAATCAGGTCAATCAAGAACCACCCTCATCTACCAGCAGCCCTAAATCCGAAGCCTCCACCACGTGCACCGGCAAAACTGAATGGCTCAAATTCTGCACATCTCCCAAATGCGCCCGGAAAACAACATGGATCACATCCCCAAATAGGACAGAACAACCCCCCAACACCCACCACATCTGCCACCCCGGGCCAGGTGTTACCAACAGACCACAGCAACACGAGCACCAGACCACCCCACCAAACCTCCATTGGAACCCGAAACCGACGGATCCTCAGGATGTGCTGTGCCTCCAGGAGGTCCGTCTCCCAGCGGCCGGGCCCAAAGGCGAACGAACCGTCCGCTTCGCGCGGACCGGTGGACCGCTCGGTGGACCGCTCGGTGTGGGTCGGGGATGGGGGAGATCTTGGGTGGCCAAAAGGGTCAATCATGGAAAGTGGTTTCCAAAACGGTTCGCTACGGAGCGTGCGGACGCTACGAACGGGGCTCCTGGCCTTACTAGGAGCAAGAAGCTACTAGCAACAAAGGGCATTGCTACGAACGGAGCGTTCGGACGCTACTAGGGAGCAAAGGAGCCAACTGAGAATGGAATTCCGGGGTAACCGGATAATATCCAGCTTTCCATGACATATTCCCTCATTGCACAGGAACTCGGAGCGAAATAGGGGAGTTCCCCAACCCCGACAGACTCTTAGTGAGAGGATGATGAGATCTTCTGTTGTTCCTTTTCTTTTTGGAGTGAAGAGACATATCGAAAGAAGACACATCGAGGATGATGAGCTTTTGGGCATTTGAGAGATTTATTCCTGCTTTGGTGTGGAGGCCCAAGTCTTTGACTGGATGTGAGAGCGGTGTGCAGCGAAGTGGGAGCGGCGTAAGAGAAGCCAACGTTCTGCCCAAAGCGGGGGCAGATGTTACTGGAGGATGGGACCCCGCAACTGAAGAGGATTGGGGATTTGGTGAATTCTATGGACTTGAACACAGCTGCTGGCATGTTCCGGCACAGCTGAGTTTGGTTGCTTTCCATGTGCGTGTGTAGGCGTCTGACTTTCTCATCAATACTCCCTTTTTTTGTGGTTGGAAGTAGAGGACACCCCAAAGAGATCGACGCATCACACCTCTGACGGTGTGTTTTTTCCGTCCGCAGAACGACGCACCAGGCTGCAAACGCGGCGATGGGCAGAAGCGTCGACGGAGCGAGGCGGAGTCGCCGGGGTTGTCAAAGAAACACCTACAGCAGACGGCCTTGAAGTCATGTTGACTGCCCTTTTGATGAATAAAACCTCACATATGGAGATGCTTGCCCATTCAGAATCCAGGTAGGAGGTTTCAATGAGTTAACAGATGTCACCAGTTCAACCTTAGCATGTGATTATTCTTGCTTGACGGTGATGCAGTTCTGTTGAAGTAAACATTATCGTTTCAGTCCTAGTGACTGTGGCGTGGAACGGGCATGGAACCGATGGCGTGCCGGCACCGAGGTGAAAGGCGATTCAGCACAGGAGAAGGTGGCAGTTTTCAGAGCGGTTTTCACCAGCTTTGAGGTTGAGTTTGAGCAGGATAATGCGGAAGTTGTGACTGTGAGTGATGTCCGATCTTGACCTGTGAAGTGAGCCTCGAAGGAACTTCAAGCAACGCAAGAACTGTTAGTGATGTAGATCCAATTTGGCAGTGAACATCTCAAAACGAAAGGAGGTGATCATTCGGAAGGGTCATTCTCTGAGCACCAGCACCTGAGGCAGATTGGGATGTCGTGCAGAAGACGCTGATTGCGACCTTTGGCGCTCAATACGCTTTCCACTGGTCCTTAGCAGATTGGAAGTACTCAGGCGTTCTTTTCCGCGACCGAAACCAGACGGATCAGTTTGATGCATACTTGCACTTGCTGCACCATTTGCTTTTGTATTTTTTCATATTATATTACATAGTACCCTCAGACTTACTTACATGGAAACCATGCCATCCACTCCATGGAACGTGAGGACCATTGCGTCAGAGTGTGTGCCAATTTGTTTCTTTTGATCTCCTACCCTGGACACTGCACAGTCCATGCACTTTTTTCCTTTCGCGTTTGCTGAGCCCCGAGAGGCTCTCAGTTCAAAGGTCATGCACTGTCGCGCACCGTTCTACCTACTATGGTAATCAGGCTGTATCACAGCAGGCTCTTCCACAACCCCCGCCTCATGCAAGTCTCGAAAGATGAGGGGGAGTTCTTTATCACACTGTACCGGGTTCAAACGTGCAATGTACATGTGAAAAGCTTCGGCAATGGTGGTGTTCAGCCCTGCCGGGTAGACCTTCGCCCTTGCCGTGCGAAAAACACCGCGCTCCCGCCCTACTAGGCTCATGTGCGCTCCAGGCCCGTGATGACAACGTCCACGTAGTCCGGTCTGCAGCGTCACCTCGCGGAAGTAGGGTAGACGAGCGAGTAGGAGTGTTGTGGGCTTCACTCCGCCAGCCCCGTAAATGCACTGGTCGAACGAGACCACTCCAACTGCTTCGCACGAAGCTAAGATCTTCATCACTTCCAGCATCCATATGGACGGGCACGGAGTGCCTCGCATCCACTTTGGGTACTCCGGGTGCTCAAGGAATCCGCACCCACCGACGAAGATGCATAGTAGCAGCAACTCTATAGCGACCTGCAACAGTCCGGTGCCTACTGTTACCTGATCGTGTTGCTTCTTCGAAATCCATGGTAAGCCCCATGGAGTGTGCTTGTCTCGCACTGGGGGGGGGCCCCCCCCCCCATCCACCGCGCCACTGACCAAGTTTCGCAGGGGGGCCCCCCCGATGCCACACACTTGGCCGGACAAAATGCGAGCTTTCCACCATTCAATTCTTTCTCGTGCCAGCAAATCTCCAGCTGGGCCCTGTAAGCAGAGGTCAATGCTTAAACAAAAACACTCTACTGTTCCAATCCAACGATGGTGCTCGATCTCATGTTGCAGATCATTAGATCTGCGATGCCCCAGTCCATGCACCATGAAAAATCCTTTGAAGCACCTTGTCACAGTTGGCCCCTGGCTGTATGAATACTACCCCTGGATCAACACCAAGTGGATGGCATAGCGAAAGGAAGACGAAGAGTCTGAAGGCCAAACAGCAGCCCGAAAGGAAGTCCAGTTCGACGACCTTTGGCACAACAGAAGTAAAGAACATTTCTTTTTGCGTGTCATCATTGTCATCTCAAGACCATGTTGAAATGGTTTTGGACTCCCAGGAGCAAGGCGGAACCCGCTTCCACGCGTTCATTTGGGAGTGTCCGTCCATTCTTCGTGTGAGTCCCGCCCGTTTTCCAGGCACCTTGGTGATGATCCGCCGCTCCCTGCGGTGTTCCAAGATCGACTTCACCTTCAAAAGCTTCCAAGGCGTCCATTGTGATCCGGCCGACCCTAGCTGCCATCCCGAGGCGCGAGCCGCTGGCGCGAATCGCCCGCTCGCCGAATCGCCTCAGGGTGTCTGGTCGTGCCGGAGATGTGGTCATTGTGTTGAAAGAAGGAAGTTCACTTGGATTTTGCTTGGGAGTTTCACCAATCCCTGACGCCGGTCTTGTTCGTGCCGGACATGTGCTGGCTGACAGTGAAAGTAGAATGATTAGAATGTGGCCCTGGGTTCGATTTCCAGGTGGGTGCTCCGTATAGCTGTTGAAGGTGTGGCAGAGGAACACATCCAGTGGTTCGAAGGTTGCCAACCTGGCTGGACTAGGGTTTGCAGTGAGTTCTTGAATCTGCCAGGTCCACACCAGTTCAACTTAGGTGGTGGTGGCCAGGTACAGTTCTTGAACCGATTCTCTCTGAATCTGCACCTCTTCCTGTGGCCGAGCCCAGTATCCACAGGGTCCTGCCAGGTGAACTGGTGTGCCTGCTGTCATGGCTCCCCAAAAGAAGACTATGGCTCGAGGCCAAAACCGGGCTACCTGGGTTGACCACCAAAAATGAACAAAATGGTCAACCTATTTTGGTTTGGGGTCTCCAGGTTTGGACCCTCTGCCATCCGGGAACTGGTGCTTTCCCGAGCTCAGCCTTTGGTTCTCTCGCCCAAACGAGCTCGGGACCCGTCCGGAAACCGTTGACCCGTCGTCGCGGGTCCACACCCCCAATGGATCACTGGCCATTCCGCTTTCCTCTGTCCTTGAGTTGTTTTTTGCCCATCAAGATGGTCCCCCTATAGGAGAAGGAACACATCAACGCCTACGGAACCCCGTGCTTCCGGATCTTTGTTCACTCTCAGAAGCCTGAACCACCTTCCACCCTGCAACGTGAAACACCTGCTGCGGCAGGGTCGAGTGATCTATGCAACTTGGCTCAGGGTTTTGCAGATGTGTCGGCAAGCATGAAGGTGCTCGGGGTTTGTGCTCACCAGGTTTACTTCTGGACCACAGGGTGCTCAACATGGAGCCATGAAGAATATTGCTAAAAGAACAGAATCGTATCGCGTGTGTTTTGTTTGTTTTCTCAATGTTCATAACAGGTCGTGAAATCTTGTAGCTGAAGCTTTTTGGGAGAAGTCCGTAATGTTTTCTTAGTTTCTGAATGTTTCTGATCTCTTTCGTTGCAAACTTGCAAGAGCCCACAGCTAGCTCGAAAATCGAAGGTGTTCGCTGGCCCTGACAGGCTTAGTGATCAGCTGAAGCGCTTCCATCCGTATAACTGCCCTTGAAGTGCCACGTAATTCACTGCTGTCACTAGCTGTGTGCTCAGCTGGCACCATGCATTTGCCCCCCCCCCGCAACATTCCCAAAAACTATGTCAGAGCTTTGCACCTTCTGACTGCCGCGCGGCCACCATGACTTGTTTCCCCTCACTCCTATTCAGCCTACGAGCAAGTCCTGCTTGTGCTGCTAAGCTGCAGGTCAGATTCAAGAGCTTGGATATGCTGGCGTCCGGCACCCAGGGAGAGATGATCGATCAACAACGGTACAGTACAAGGATCTTGGATGAAGGATGAAGTGAGCTACGACCATGGCATCCTCAAATGGATCCAATTGGATGGTTTCGAACCATCCAGGGATTTTCCACTGTGGTCGTACAATCGAAAAGTCGCCCAGGACGTATGCCCCGAACAATGGCAATGACTCCGATGCCTTTGCCAGACGCAAAGCTTGGGATGTGGCCATGAAGCAGGAGACACACCACTGGAAAACGGGACCTGACCACCAGTTGGACCAAGAGCCGGACAGGCAAATGAGAACATTTGGCAACCCATGGGGTGTAGTGTTGGTTCGTGGCCACTCGGGCCTCGCTTGTTACCTTTGATCAGATGGGCGTGCACCGATGGGCGTTGCCAATCTCAACCACTTCGACCACTAATTCAGCTCCATTGGACCCCTCCGTCTCCCAGGAGGTGTCCGCGCGAGGTGGCCGGCCTTGGGTCTGGATTGGAGATCTCAATGTGGCCGCAGACCGTGTGGACCGGTCGAGAGGGGGAGGGACGTGTGCGGGGGTCGTCTGCGAGTTGTTTGAGTGTGTTTCTTTTCTTTTTCAGAGTCTAACCAGAGTCTATCCGGTCAAGTAGAGCATAGGGTCACCAAGACCAATATATTCCATGCACGTAGAGGCCTTAATGTGGACGGTTGATGAATCGTACCCCCCCAACACTGGAGATGTAAAACTATTCTGGAAATGGGGGGGGTTCTCATGAATCAACCGTCCACATTCCTTGGCGGAAGACTAAGTTTGAGGTGAAACATCTGACACATGCCGTTCCAGGATGTGACACATCCAGATTGGTTTCTGCAGCAGTGCTACCAGGCGGCGCTTCGGAATGTCTCGTTTAGGTTGCTGTTTGGTTGCAGCATTTTTGGAGCGCTGGAATCGGTTTGGAAACAGGTTCGTTGGATATGGATGGATATGGCATTTTCTGGTAGCTGCAGAGGGCACCATGGTATGGCCTCCTTTTTCGTTGCACACTGAGGACCCACATGACGCACTGACATGGTCACCAGAAGTCTGCTGTGTCCCTTCCAACTGTGAATCCCAGCTGTTTCATTTGTGGAGCGCAAACCCGCAGCCCTCCGCAGACGACCCTGCCATATACCACAAAAACCTTCAACAGATGGTCACACAAACCTTCAACTCAACAGATGGTCAGACTGCCTTTTTCATTTTGTTTTGAGTTTCACGGATCCTTGATTGCCAATGCAGCGAGAGGTTCCATCTCTTTCTTCGTTGCGCACCGTGGCACCCTTCCGCAACTCAGGGAGAGCCTGAAGAGATGCGAGGTCAACCTGGCTTCACCAAAGGCCGTCAAACGGCCGTTGCCCGGCGGGTCTCGGGTCTGATGTCTCTCGCAGTGTCACAGGTGTCACAGTTGGCTTGCGAAGCCCCTTTTCAGATCACCGAAAGGTGGTGATCCTTCCGTTGGACCCAACGTGTCGCTGGTTAAGCTGCTCCGTCTGACTGTCGTCACCGTCTCATGGCCCCACCCAACGGCCTCGGGAGAGGCGAGCGGCGGCGATTTCAAGAGATCTTGAAGGAGGGTCGCCTGGTGGACTCCTATCGGTGCGGGGCCTGAGAAGCACGCCACCAGCGGCTTGCCGGTCAGCTGAGGTGACTGTTCACTTGAGGCCTTTGGTGAAACATCCCAGATGTTGGGAGAGATCAACAAGGGGATTCCCCTTTGGGAAATTTGCTGTTGACGTTGCTTTTGTGCCTCCAGAAAAAGCCATCAGTGGCTGTGGCTGGCTCACAAACCACTAAGTGTCGCTCATTGGTGCCATCCCCTGAAAGCGAGAAACAGCCACACCTACAGTAGTGCCACAGTTGACCAAAACCCTTGGAGTGACACCTGAGTTGAGTAGGATTCACGCCTACTAGTGTAGTTTCCTTCCTGCAGACTCTGGCTTTGTCAAGTTTCCATTCATCAATAATTGCTTGTTTGGCCCAAGGACTCCAATACCCGTTCGCTTCCGACGCTCTTCGTCGTCCTCGCATGACTCCGCAGGAGTCGCACCGTCTCCACCCACCGCGGGACGTGAGGCATTTGCATCCCGTCGAGGACGTGCCACCACCGCTGGGGCCCTTCTACACCTGGCGAGGGCATCCTCCAGTGCACCAGGCCAGCGACAACGAGGGTCAGGAGTAAGGAAATCCTGAGAAATCTGAGAAGAGGGCCAACTCTACGTATCTGTAGCAACCAGTGGATAGTAGGAATCGTGATGGTCATTGAAATGATGCAGAATGCAGTTCCATGGCCATCGTGACACCGGAGGCCTTTGCGAAATACCATGGCAAAGGCACGTGGTGCTGTCGCGCCAACGACACCCGCGACGAATCTCGAGGGACCAGAGACTGGCAGTTTTGCCCGACGAGAGACGGTTCCATGTTCATTCATCAATGATGCTCCATCACTGGTGATGCCGAGCTGCGGTGTTGCTTTTGAGGTCAACCGGTCAAGCTGTTGTCCATATTCCGATCTTTCTTGAGCCGACGATGGGAAAGAACTTGCTCTGCCCAGGGATGAGGATTGATTACGCTTTAATTGCGGAGGACATCGTTCGATTCGCGGTGCGCCTCGCCAGAGCGAGCCGGTGAAACACCGTGGTGGTTTCGATATGGCTATGGGTCTTGGAACCGGGACCGACTGGTTACCACCGAATCATGAACAGACTAGTAGACTAGACGTCTGGCGGCTCGGTCAACCGAGCTCGCTCGTGGTGAAACGGGCGAGCTCGGTGCCAGGACCCTACGGCCATAATGATGTAAACTTTTTGAGGAGCCTAGTTGTCAATGAACTGGCTAAAGGGAACATCTGCAGGAATCCCTTGTTTTCAACCCCAAAACCATGGCTTTCCTGTAGAGGTTTTCCCTTAAACCAATTCTGTGAAGTTACTGGAGTCTCTGCGGACCCGTGCTCTGTGTCTACCAACGCCCCGGTCGGTGCACGAGCCGTGGAAGGGCCGATTGGGGGGAGGGTGGAGAGTCGCAGGGCCTGGGCATATCCTCCGGTGGTCCTGCGCTACCAAGTTCTGACAACGAAACTGGCCCTGGAGCAAAGCGAAGAGAAATGGGTGTGTCATGTGTATTGAAATTAAGGAGACCTCCCAGTTCAACCCCCTGGAAGAAGGAAAATAGACCAAGGGTCTTCCCTATTAAATATGCACCCAAAGACTGGCGATGAAAGACTGGCGGCTGATGGGGCAGATGGGACTGGTCCAGTCTCACCGTGCCTGGAAGACAATCCCAATCACCTAAGCATGTCCATTTGACATTGAGCAAGCCCATTTTTCGGCGCTGTCTACGGTATGTTGCAATGCAAACTAGATCAAACTAGCCCTTCACACAATCTCTGAAGTTTGTAAACCATTGTAAAACTTGCCGGTAACCGTCATCCGCTGTTGCTGTGACTAAAATTGATGATCATTCAGGATTTATTTGAATCCCCCGTGATCATTCCTACATCCCTGGCTCCGGGGAGCAGTTCTACAGTGTTCGAGCGAAACAAGGACCTCCATCAGGCTTTTGGGAGCTGCAGGAGAACGCCGTAACCAATGTTATAAGATTCAAAACGATCAAACGATCAAAGAGACTCTACAAGCAGGTGATGACCTTTGACTCTACCGTGCCTCCAAAGAACACCCATCGCAACCCATGCCGACCGGGAGCTGCCTCGGACTTCTACCACGCCGTCATCGGTCGGAGGAGCTTCTACCACGCCTGGACTCCTCAGAGATCCTGGGTTCGGGCGCTGACCGCGACGGATTCCTAGGCCCGAACGGCGAGCGTTGAGCGCCAGGGAGCGCCGGGGGGCGGTGGGATCCATGGGATGGGGTGAAGCTGAACCAGACAAGGGCTGGGCAAGAGAGTTGGTGTTCCACGCAATTTCAGCCATTGAGCCTTTGGGATCATCACTTACATCATATTTGGCTGCCAGCAGCGATTTGAGAGCCTCTGGGGCATGGTTTCTTTCAGCGAGGGGGTCAACCAGAACGTACTTTTGATGGAGCAGAGGCGGGATAGACGAAGGTAAGATGTGTCTGTAAGATATACTACTAAACCCTGCAGGTCCCTGAATCAGCGTGGGGTTTGTCAATTGTGGATTTTTCATCGTTGCGCCTTGATGACCCCTTGATCAATTTCGATGTTTGTGCCTTACTTGGAGCTTTGCGCTGGCTACTCTTTCGAACAGTGACCTCCCCTGTTCAGATTGCCTCGCGGGTTCTCGGTCGCATTGGAGCACCGGAGCTGTGCTCCCGCGGTTTTCGTCGAGAATCCGGGTTTTTGGGTCAACCGGAAGGCGACCTTCAAATTGGAAATAGCAAATTGCGACCCAACGACCTATCAAAGAGTATACCCAGACAAATGGATCGTTCGAGCTGTCGTATCACCACCCAGGTGTGGAGGGAGGTGTGTGGGGTGGGACGGCTGAAAACAGCTGGACTCTGGACCGCTCGCCAGGCAGTGACCACTGCCCCATCCGCTTGAGGTTGAAGAAGGAGAAGGCGCGGGGGACATCCAAAGCCTCGTGGTTTTGCCCTTTTTTGAAGTGGTTGAAATATGTCTTCATCTCGAAAGAACAGAGATGATATATGCCACTACACATTGGCCGAAGACAGCATCAAGGCCTGGGCTTCAAGGCCTGGGCTTCTTCTAACTCCGCAGAATCGATGATATAGATCTTCAGGCAGATTTTCAGGGAGACAGCAGGTTATCTTGATCCAAAGGGTTCTGTTGACGGGTCATGGCTCTGGGTTGGCTACATTGAACCGGCTTTCCCAGCAGTCAGTCAGTGGAACTTGGCAAAAGAACCTTGTCAGTCATGGTCATGCTCTTCCCCCTCCTCTTCACCTTCCTCCTACAGGGAAAGGATTGAACCCAAGTTTTGCATCGTTTTGTGTTTCTCCCAATTAGAACCCTGCATTCTCATCGTATACGATTGACTGTTCCTCGTATCTCAGGTGGCGCCAGTGGTGTTCGATCTCGATTGAAGGAAAAAGAGAACGTGCTGTTCAGGGAAAATGGTGGAGGGTGAGAGGCGAAGTCCAACAAGTGAGCGGTATCTTGCCACACATCAATGTGGCATCATCCTGACCAGTAGTCTTGAATAGGAGACACTCCCAGAATCCTCCGGAACAAAACATGAAACCTTCGACCTGGAACCCCATCTTCGATCCACTTGGGGGATGACGTAGATATTTTTTGTTTTGTTTTTGTTCAATATAAAGAGCAGCAAATCACAGCTGCTTGATGGAAAGAACAATGATATTTGTACTTACTTGTATGTTGCAGAAAGCTATTGGTGGTGAGTTTGCGAATTTGATCTCGAGATGTCTCCTACGTTTGGACATGTCTCCAATCGACACATCAAAGACCTCCGTGACAAGTCCATTTGACAGCTCAAAACAATGTCCGCCTCAGACCCATGGCATGTTGGGCTACCTTTGACGGAAACCTGTGAATGCTTCCACAGACATGAACACAGTTAGGCAACACTTCCGGAAGTAAACATGGAAGTGCGCAGGTCGCAGTCTTCTTTTTTACAACTTCCACCGGTTTGTGTTTGTACCGTGTTTGTACCATGTAACTGTCACAATCGACGACTCCTTTCGACGGCTCCGACGTGTTTTCTCCACACTTCCAAGGTGCAGAGGAGGTGATCTTTGGCGAGATGAGGTTCGCGTCTTCAGCGGAAGCGGGATCGGACATGCCTTGCAGTCACCGTTTTTCAGTGGTTCTCAACCTGGAAACACAAACAAACAGAAAGAAATTGATGTTTCCCCAAAACAGCCAATTTCCTGTAAAGGATTTCAATTGCCATACTGAAACAACCATTTGTTTCCGGTTGTTTCGGTTTCTAGGAACATAGATTCACCTCAGCAGTCCGCTAGAGACATTGTTGAGAAGTCAGTAAGCCCTAGGATTCCCACCATTGGGAGCCCGAAGCCCCCCGCCCCATTTCCAGTGCACCATTGATTTTCACCCATCTTTGTCACTCGCTTTTTGGACGACTGGCTGGGTTGAGAGAGTGACTTCGCTATTTCCCATGCTTCTCTGGGGATGAGAAAGGTTTGTCGCTGACATGAGGATGGCACAAAATCAGCTGGACAGCGGAACTCCAGTCTCACTGTAATGGACATGGTTGGTTTCCACCCACAAAACTCACCGAAGGACGATGCCTGCAACGATGGCTCCTGTTCTTTAGATTTCTTTAGCAGGTCTTCTTCACATTCTTCTCACCTCTGAGTGGCACAAAGTCCGTCTCCCCAAGTTTCCTGAGACGTGACAGGGCGAAAAAAAACACTCCCATCTTCCGTCTTTTTCTTAATCAACCCCCCCCCCGCAGGGTGATGTCGGTGAGGTGGAACACCAGGTGCTTCAGGCCTGGCGGAGAGCCGTGCCTCCCGGCCGTGCGGAGCCCGAGGCTCGCGAGTGGAGCCGTGCTGCTCCGGTCCAAGTCCAGCGTGTGGAGCCCCGGAGGTGATCGGAGAGCCGGGGCCGAGCGTGTTTTTTGGGTTGACTGACTTTGGATCTTGGATTTCATCACCCTATGGTCTCATGGGAGTTTTTTTGGAAGGAGAATTTCCGGGGTCAGGTGCTTTTGAGTGTCAAAATGTTTTGTGTTTTCTCCTCTTCATGAAGAGCATGATCAGGAAAAGTTGTCCTTCTCATCTTCAGAAATTCCGTTGATGTTCCTGAAGAAGAGGACCTCTTGGCACAAAGCCCTCCATGTTTGCTCGGTGTAACGTGCTTGGAAGCATCCGACGCCTGGTGCTGGTGCTTGTGCTGGTGCCTGGAGGCGCTGTTGAGAGGAAGGAGCGACCGGACCGAACGAGGCGACCTGACCGAACGTTGTTTGTTGGAAATAGCTACACCTTCTAGTGTGGCTGCTATGGCGGAGAGCCAGAATCTGAGCATGGAGGTGAGACAGTCTACTTCCGGAGGAGCCAGTTTGGAAGACCACTGGAAAGGTGCCAAGGGTCTTAAGACTTTGGAAATTCTGCGGACTGGTGCTTTCAGCAGAGTCGTTTTGCAGGATCACAGTATGGCATCCATCCTAGAGCCTGAGAAGATGCTTAAGTATGGCAAGTTGTTAGCTCAGGAGGTGCCCGATGCCGAAATTTATCTCTTTATGACATGGGCCAGGAAGTTTAACACCAGCATGCAGGCAACTGTCACTGCTCAGTACCAGCGATTCGCAGGGCGAGCAGATTTATTTGAATTTTCAATCATCGAAGGATGCACTCTTCTGTCAAAAGACGGCAGAGGAGACCCTTCGCTCCTACGAGCTGCTCTGAAAAGCAACAACTCCAGGGGCCACAAGAGTCCGAGTTCGAGCCTTTTGTTGCCACACATTTAGGCACCCGCTCGATCCTTGCTCGATCCAGCGCTGAAACGTTCACCATCGGAACAGTGGGGGAACATCTTTCCATCGGATGCTGTAGGTCCGTGTTGTGAAGAGGGTTGAGATGTTGAGAGGAGTTGATCAGGCGAAGGGTGGTGAAGGACTTGAGGTACTTGGCATGTGGTACTAGGCCTCTCAGACTTTCAGGTAGCCAGGCCTTTGGGATTCTTCCTATACCACACCTGCAACCTGTCCGCGCAACCTGAAACCGAATAGGGAGTCTTCCGTGCGCGAGGTGGCTTTGCAAGGGTTGCAACCCATTCTGCTTGGGGGCCCAGGTTAAGCGACGGACCCGGGCTTTGTGAGTCAAAGCGCTTCAAGAAAGTAGAAGAAGAACGCGTTGCATGGATGGTTTTCTTGAGTCCCTTCGACGCATCCAAGATGCCTTTGCAAGGCTAAATATGCAGGAAGCTGAGCACACACACACACACACACACACACGCACGCACTCACAGCACTAGTTTCGAAATTTCAAATGACTCGGATAAAGCGCTCGGCCAACATCACTTTGTGTCGTCGGCTGCGAGCAGCTGCCTTCTGGTTCAAGTGTCCCTCGAAGTGGCGCTTAGACTCCAAGCGCTAAAGTGGATCAGAGCAATTATTGAACAGCCTGTACACTGAGCAAGCTGAAGTTGCAGTCGATCTATTTCATCTCAGCTCGTTTCAACCCTAAACCATTTGGGACAAGGACACTCTTGCACCCTGCAGCCGAGCCTTTTCCAAGCCGCCCGGCCGCAGGCCCGGCCACTCCGTGGTGGTGCCATGGCCTTCGGCCACGCGTCCGGGACACCTGGACGGCAGATGGGGTGGAGGTGGTCCCAGTAGACGTCCACCTGGGAAGGCGCGGGGCATCGGCGAGGAGCGATTTTTGGAGTTCAGGAGAGGATTCGGTGGCGAGGTCGTTTGAAAAGGGGGGCCCAGCTCAAGAGAGCCCTGGAAATCGGTATGCTGTATACATGTATTCAGAAACAAACACATATATAAATAAATATGTATGTATATATGTCAATGTGTATACGTACCATATGGTCAATATATGGTATGTACAAATTTATATATGCAATAGGCTTGCACATATTATCATTCTCATTTTCCATTGCATTGGTTCATGGTCTCCACGACGCAGTTCATGGTCTCCACGACCGGGGGTGGGCGGATCGTCCGATTTCACCGTGGCCAAAGGGCGAAGCAGATCCCGTGGCTTTGACTGCTGGCCTCAATGATATCCCACGGTTTACGGAGTCTTGGTTTCTTCCAACTGCAGAAATATCGCAGGATGTCTTCCGAACAATCTCGGGAAAATGTCTTCCAACCCCAAGATTTCTTCCAACCCCCAAGAATCTTGGGAAGGTCTATCTTCCTTTCTTCCGAAGTCGTGCAAGATGTCTTCCGAAAGCGGGGTCTTGGATCCAGTCCGCCATCGTCTCCTCCAGACGCTGAGGCCTTTGCGAGCTTTCAGAAGATGCCATGCCGGGAGCACCCTCTAGAGGGTGGGAATAGCAGGGTCCAGGGTCCGGTGATGTTTTGGAATCATTGTGGGCATTACTCCAAGATTCCAAGTAGAACTGTGATACGCCTTCAGGAAACTGGACTCTAAATGCTCCAAATAGATCCAAATAGAAGGTTCAGTTTGACCATTTGGAGCGATAAAGTTAGACCATTTTGGGTGATGTTGGGACTTACGCTTTTCATCCCCGGATTCCATACAGATTGAACGGCTTCAAGGTTCCTAAGCTGGTTCCGCTGGCCAAATGTTCAGTACCCTTTCCTTGGAAGAAGGAGTGGGTTTCCATCCACTTCCAACAGGATAGCAGCCTTTTACCAACACAGGTTGCAGAACCCATTCTTTTCTAGTTTCACCCATTGCTGCTTTCGGTGTTCCAGGGACTTTTCCCCATACCAACCTGACGAAAGCAGATCACAACACGCTTCAGGCTGGACCTTTGGCGCACCACATTGGAAACAGAACGAGAACTGAGACGGTTGCCTGTCACGGAAGGCGGATTGCAACGACATGTTGTGTTTGGTCGAATAGCCAACAAAGATAAAGACTCCAGCATGTAATTGTAGGTCCCCCAACGAGTGTTTATATCACCTGACCCTGCGAAAGAAATCTTCCCTGGCAGAAGTTGGAGTCGACCCAGACATTTCTGACTGTCTCAACTTGGAAGCAAAGGAATACCCCTCTACCCCTCCCAGAGGTTCCGTTCCCGATCATTGTGGGTCATGCCCCTTCAGATTCGTGGGCTGCTGGGGTCTCCCGGTGAGACCGGTTGTGGTACCTGGTACCGTCCTGTTCTTGGACCTCGAAAATAGAGTTTTGAGAGAAGTCGAGCATCTTGCATCAGTGCACCTGGATATACCTGGATGCTGGGCACCTTTTGCATCCTTTTGCCAAGGAAACTGGAATCCACTGCCGCGCACCAAGCTTTGGTCGGTTTTCCGCATCGCAGGCTGTGGAGCATCCTTGGAAGCCTGCATGATATTCTCGATCAACTTGTTTGGGTCTGAAAGTTTGGAACCAGCCTCGTTGCTGAATTGCTACGTGGACTATGATGGTAGCGTTTCTCAAAGCAAATGCTACAGGTGCCCCATGTATACTTGCAGTGCTTTGGAGAACCGATAAAAGACTGTCGAAAGGTGCAGGAGCTGTGGCCACATGATTCAAAGGGTTGCCTCCGGGCAAAAGAGCAAATGTAGATGACCAAGCCAATTTGGACCTTTCTTTGTACCAGTTTGGACTACTGCGACTGTTAGTTTTTGGACAGACCACCGGTCAACATTTTTCTGTAAGTTTTTGCCGCCTTTTTCTGTGACCATGAGGCCAGCAACTGGGCTGTCTTCGATGGGTGGCCTGCAGGTCAGCCAGTGCTGGGAGGCCCAGTTGGTGTGCCGAAAGTCGAAACCGAAGACGAGACGCACTTGATGAGACCAGGAGCAGTATGGGACCAGCGAGTGGGTCCATCCCACCAAAAGCCAGAGAATAACTTCAGACCCAGACTGGGGGTTTGAGGGACCCTGACTTGAGTGTGCAGGGAAAAGGTGTGGGGCCCACTCACAGTCACACAGGTCAGGTTGCAAGGTTGCATCATTTTTTCTTCTACGTGCTGGGCAGCGGCCATGCACCGGATCTCTGTTTGTCCTGCTCCAGGCCTCATGCGCACGTGCATGTGGTGCCGCGAAAGCCGAACGACCTGGAGAAGAATGACCAGGACGCGCGGACGCGCGCCGTAGTGATTCAGCCGACCCGGACGCTTGTCGTCCTCCCACCAAAACTCAGAAGCTGGTCATGTAGACTGTTGATTACTAAAACCTCCCAACCTCAACAGTCTACATCTAGACGATGATCATGGTTGAAGGACAAGCAATATTTTTCCACTATTTGACCTGTTTGTGTGAATACACGGCAACAAATGTTGCTTGTTGACCTGATCAGGTGGCGCAGAACTCTTTCTGAAATCACTCGACCAAGGATGTGAATGATTACACATCCGGGACGGATGGAGACCTGGATGCCGTTTGGAAACCTGAACTTAGCATGACTTAGCTGTTCTAATGTGATCTTGATTCATACCGCGCCGAGATCTCCATTCAGAGAGGGGTTTAGGGTTTCATTGGATTTTGGTGCTGCCATCCCCAATGCCCTCAACCACTGCTCGCACCGGTGTGCCAGCTGGTCCAATCGAGCCTTCGAAGCAACGGCGTTTGAGAGGTTTCAACACGCTGAAATCGGGCTGTGACAGGCTCATGTTCAACACCAGTCAGCCCATTGAGAAAGAGAGGTCACCAGCGACGCGACGGCGCAGGTGTATGAGGCGTTGGAACGCTGGGTGCCATCCTCCAAAGGCGCGATGTGATGGGTGGTTGACCTGTGAACTGGAAGCTTTGCATCAAATTGTCAGATAGCCATCCCCAAGAGTTTGATGGAGGAGTGATCAGATGAAGCGCATGAAAAGAGTGACTTGTGATCATGTCAAAGCATTCGGTCATCCCAATATTCTGCCTGAGAAGCCCTCAAATAAAGTGGAGATTTGAAGTTTTGAGGCATCAGGTGGCAGAATGGGGGCCAACTCTTTCTTCAGTTGCTTGGGCACTGCCGCAGGAGCGGCTTGCCCCCCATCGATTGTGACGACCTCAGGATCGGATTTGTCGAAGATGAGATCCTACAACCTCATCAGGGTTGATTAAAAAGATCTGCGACGAAGCCGTCTTGAACGGGGATTTGAGATCAAAGCTTCAGGACCACATGCCGGCGTCTGCGCGCGCGCACTTTGGGACCCGCTCATCCAGCCAAGCTGCTCACAGGAGTGGCCTGAAGATGAGGCGCGCAGAAAGCGCACAGGCGTGGATTTCCGCTGCGTTTTTGGAGCAGGCAAAATATGGGTGGCGGGTTTTCATTCTCTAAGATAGAGGGATCAGTTGCCTAATGGGTAAGGCGTTGGATTGCATCGTTGCTGGCGCAGCAGATGACACCATCTCATGGGGATTCGATTCCTCCCTGATCCGCTGCTTTTTGCTTTTGCTTGCTTGGCTGCTTGCTTGGTTGCTTGCTTGGTCAGTTGCTTGCTTGCTTGCTTGGTTGGTCAGTTGCTTGCTTGCTTGGTTGATTGGTTGGTTGTTTGCTTGCTTGGTTGGTTGCTTGCTTGCTTGGTTGCTTGCTTGCTTGCTTGGTTGTTTGGTTTGTTGCTTGGTTGCTTGCTTGGTTGCTTGCTTGGTTGATTGGTTGATTGGTTGGTTGCTTGGTTGCTTGGTTGCTTGGTTGCTTGGTTGCTTGGTTGGTTGGTTGGTTGGTTGGTTGTTTGTTTGTTTGTTTGTTTGTTTGTTTGTTTGTTTGTGTGCCTTGCCTTGATTGCCTCACGTGCCCTTTGCTCTTGCTTGCTAGCTACCCTGCCGCTCCTGCCCGCTCATTCTGAACTAGGTGAGAAAAAACTCGATGATGGTTTGCTTTTTCTGGGACTGTCTCATTTTCAGTCTACTTTCGAATGGCTGCCCGATGCCGATGGTGCTTGTTATAATGGTAATTGTGGATTACTGGCGCTACCACATGTATTATGTGACCGTGTTTAGCCACATTGGCGAGCCCAGAGCCTCCAAACTTGAGACGCTTTGCATCATGAACAGCTACTTGACTCTTGCTTGACCCAATGCACGTGTGATCCTGCTGTTCTGTGGCCACCCATCCAAACTACAATTCCTTCCAACTCTGCTGCCGTAGAAGTCCCAAAGTCCGATCGATGAGCAAAGGAACCCTTTCAGATGCACTGCATGTGCGTTTTTGTACGACGCTGCTCTGCGCTCACCGGCGCAACCTGCAGAATTGCTTGTTGCAAACATGTTTTCTTATTGTTAAGGCAGGGTTTTGAGGGCCATGCTAGTTTCCAGGGATGTCCTTCCTCTGCCCATCTCTCCCTTTTCCAGGCGAGGAGATGGCAGCTGAAGCGCTCAGCTATCGTGCAGTGATGCCAGGACACTCGCATTGCCGCGCTTGAAAAGGTTGCTCCAGAGCTTTCGTGGCTGGATTTCACCTTGTCTCTGGATCCGTCCGTGACGGCACGCGGGACGCGGGACATGCCGAACATCCACGGGCTTTTAAGGACGCAGGACGCTTGGACAGGCCCAGTCAGTCTCTCGAGACAGATAAGAAACATGACGGTTCGGTCAAGCAGTGGAACGGACTTTGAAGCAAACTCCACACCTAAATGGACTGGATCACCTCACATGTGAAATGTGCACAGGAAGCGGCAGCTTTCCGGAAGAACAGGCCGGTCGGGTCGGCGGGAATCCTCACATCTCACGAACTTGCCATGAAAATCGCTCAAGAGTGCTGCCTTTTCTGCGAAAGCATCTCAAGCTCGGGGTGCATGTCAGAGGTTGAGGCATAAGACAACTGGGAGCTCCATGGTTCATCATGTTCAGCATGTTCATCATGTGGATCGCAAGGTCATGAAGAGTATGTGGATCGCAAGGTCATACGGGTCCACAGTCCATAATATGCACACATGGATTTTTGCAATAGCTTGACGCCGGTGCCATGATCGAAGAATTTGGATCCTCCAACCCTTCCGGTCTTGAAAGGCTCATCCCATGCAGTCAGCACTGGTTGAGGTATCCAAGGATTCCTGGGCTGGTCCGCCACTTCTCCCAGACAGCTTAAGCCAACCATCCTAGCAGTCCTAGCAGCTTTCCAGCCAATCCCTCCAAAAAAAGCATCGGCACAGTTCACCAGCCCCCGCGAATTCGAGGACGCGACCATGGAGATGTGTGGATGGTTCGTTTCCCTAAAAATAGACAAACGCCTCAAACGAATGAACCACATGAATAGTGCGAACCAAACGAATGAACCACGGTAGTTTCGTTTGAACCAAAATGAATAGTGCGAGCGCTTCTTCAAGGAAGCTCCTCCTAAAGCCGCCGCCCTATTCTAGGTCGGCGGGGGAGGAGCTTCCTTGAAGAAGCGTGAGCGATTTTCTGCGTCCAGTTCCTAGCAATAAGGTATCTAGCTACCTAGCTACAAGCTATCTCTAGCTACTACCCCCCTCTACCGTTCGCCTTTAGAGGCCTTTGCATCCTTCCAGATCCCAGGGCTGCGGAGCCCAGCGTGCAAAGGTCGACCCGGCGAACTCAGGGAGTGACCCCCCAGATTCGAAGGGGAACTTCCCAAATTCAACGGAATCAGAACTGACACATGGCCAGTGTATTGACATCATGGAGGCTTTGTTTCTTAAGCTGTTGTTTTTTTCTTTTTTTAATGGGCGGAAACGCCTATGTGGTGACGTGGCTTTGGCATAGGCTTAGATAAAATAGCAATCATTAGCAACATTTGTTTTCCAAGGGTTCTTGATTCAAACGTCCAAAAGCGTGTGCCACTGCTTGCAGTTTCTTTTTTGTATGCTGTTTGATTGTGGCCTGGGGACTGGGATTGAAAGCAGAAGTGCTTCACGCAACAGACAGAAATGTAACAACACTGAAGTACAGTGGTTTCAGAGTAGATGGCACAAACCCAAAGACCCAAAGAGTTCTTTTATATGGGGGTCCTCATAAACCACCTAACTGTGGGGATTGCGCCATCTACTCTGAAACCACTGTGCGCCGTGATATGAGGATCCAGGTTGGTCTCACAACTCAATGCGGCTGGTGAGATCACACGCGGGGCGCCGCTGCTTCTGAAGGCTGCCTGAAACCGCCATGACGACCGCTGTAGGAGCAAGGGCATCGCTACGAACGGGGCTCCGGGCCTTACTAGGAACGAGAACATCTTGCAACCCTGTTGTTCCCAAAACATGTCAAAGAACTAGGCAAAGTGCAACCTCATGTTCTCAGTGGTTCACTCCTCCCTGCAACAAAAAACCGACGGCAAATGGTCCTTCATCATCCTTCCTTCCACCTGCAGCGCCGCCAATCTTGAGGTCCCACATATTCTATGCCTCGGAGTTGACCGTGGGCTTTGTGAACTTGAAGCCCTTGGTGCCAGGCCACGTGCTGGTGCGGGAGACCTAAAAAGACGAACTCGGCACCCGCGTATGCGTCCTTCGCGCGACACGCGGTTGCGCGGGTGCCGGCTTGCAACGCGGTGGCTTGAGGGGATGGATTGAAGACGTTGTTTTTCTATGTTTAGATTTTAGCAGATTTTAGCAGCTCCTGTTCCGTTTCTCTTTTTTCTTGGGGGAGGGGAGGTGATAGGTCCCCGATAGCGTACTTTGACTTGGTCAGGACCTATTGAACGAGACTGGTTGAAGATTCAGGCTGTAGTTGGAGCATGTTTTGTGTTGCAGACATTTCATCTCAACGTTTTAGGTGACACATCAAAGCCTTCTAGCCAATGTGGTCATTTGAGCACAGAAACGCTGAAGTCTTCGAACACAGACAGGCAGTTAATTTGGTTTGCGATGGCTCCTTGATAGCCTCAGCTCTCAAGCTTTCGTACCAGACGACTCGGTGATGGATGAGGCTGAGGTTCTCGGACAAATCTGATTCAGGTTCCAGTGGGTGTCTCTACAAATTGGAACATTTGAAACGAATTGGCATTCGAGTTGTTTCTGTTTCTGTGGCATTGTGATGGTTCTCAACATTGGATGTCCTCAAATCAGACTCTATTCTTCTGTGTCAAACAGCTTCAGCTTCATCGTCAAACAGCCAACAATGTTGTTTTATGTTCCCCAACCACCAGTCGTACTTTTGGCATGTAAGACATGCACCATTCAAGAAGCCCTCATATTCACGTCCCATCCACAGTGGACAGTTGTAACGGTTCCGTTGTTGAACGTTCCGGATGTTGTCGGTTCTGAAGCAAGATCCTAATGCACATGGGCTCAAGCCGCTGGCAAACCACAACAGCTTGACTTGGATCTTTGACACTTGACACTGGTGTAAACTCAGGTGGTGCCAAAGCGCGCCGCCCCTCGTATGGAGGATCTGTCAGCCGAGGAGCCCGAGAACTTCTCTTTTGCTGTGTGGACTCTTTTATATGATGGAACATGCGCCACTGAGCGAGAAGTAGCTTGAGAGATTCTGACGATTGCAACACTGATGGTTGTGGGTAAGTAGATCATGGTGTTTTCAGGTGAAAGGACACAGCGATGGGTTTTGAAATGGATTTTACACAGTTTCCCAACCACCTTCAGGCAGTTGTGTATAGCACCATATATCACTATTAATATATAGTTACCTTTCGATTGATGGTGATTGGGCCAATTCCATAAAAAGGATCCTGAGAACGACGGGATCCACCCTGTGAAAATCCAGATGTTCGGGTTCTCTCCGGGTTTCGGCAGGTGAACCTGGTTCCAACCCGTCCCGTCTGTCCGCATGGGCTTTCCGGCTTCGCGGTGGTGGGAAGAGATTTAATCCACGGCTTCATGGGGAGAAGGCAGACGCATACATATAAATCATATAAAGTGGAAGGACCAATTGTATCACGCACCATTGAACAAGGGCTTACGTAAAACCTGAATTGTCCTAATTATTGGTTGATCACTCCTAGATGGATCTGCCAAGAAAGGTCTTTCTTGGCCTTCTCACCCACCGGACCCGGGGGGATTCCAACGAGCCTCGCGCCCGTGTGGTGCGATGCTCGCGCAGCGAAAAGGAGTTCGAAGACCTCTTCCGTTCAGTGCGACTGGTGCAAGGTGCCCTGGAAGGAGCCCATGGCGCTGAGGCCGCGGGACCCACGCAGGATCCCATCGCGTTGGTCACGCGTTAGTCCCACTGGATGCGCCTTCGGATGCGAAGGGCGGTTTGTTCAAAGGTGCGAATGGCGCTTGGAGCGGTTTGGGTTCGGACACGAAAGATCCCGCCTTTGTATCTCGCTCACTTGGATTGAGCTGAGGTCACTTAAACGCTTAAGTTCATGCGACGTCACTAGAATCAGCAAGGATCCACGAATTCTGCAAATTCACTTATATCTAACATATATATAGACTCTTGATTCTATTTCAATCCCTCTCATGTTTCAGAGCTTTTACAATCCATCTCTGAAGGGGCGGAGGTTGAAATATGTTGAAATATCATCTAAGAGGTCTACAATGGTCTACATATTTCAGGGGGGTGATTGAAATGGTCCCATGTTGGGAGCCCGAACACCGACCGCGTCCGCGCCCCAAACGGAGGCCTCGCGCTTGGGCATCCAAGACGGCGCCGACGCCGGGCAGACGGTGCCGCACGTCCATGTGACCCGGGAGCACGTCCGAGTCTTCTCCGAGTCGGAGGGGACGAAAGGGGTGGGTCGCCCCGGAAAAGGCGGTGAAGGGACGTGATAAAGGACCTGGTCTGGATGTTTGGATGAAATTATTGTTGGAGTCTTGCTGGGAAAGAGTATGACTATGGTGATGAAGAAGAAGAAGATGATGATGAAGAATTGAGAGGAATCAATGTTAGATCTCAAACAAGATCAAGAAGAAGAGTCTTAGGAGGAGGAAGGAGGAAGGGGGAGAAAGAAGATACAGATTATCTTCAATAATGATGCAGGCCGCAGGCCCCAATTTGTGGGAATGAGGACACCGAAGCTTTCGTTGGTCAACCAGGACCTCTTGTTAGGTCTTCAGTTTCTTGCTACAAGAAGAAGCTGCAAACCTTGTTTGTAACCCGTCTGGGGAAAAAGACAAAAGACCATGGACCCTCTGCAGGGCTGTCTCCATCTCAAGTTGGTTGGGACCTGAACTTGCAAAACAGGTACACATTCTGCCGATCCCTTTGCGCAAAGCGCCGCTTTGATGGGTGGCCCTTTTCTGCAGCCGAAAAAAGGAGAAGACATGTGAAGAACAGGTAGGGTGGTGCTGCTTTGCATTTTCCAGGAAACGACACGAATGGAGATTGAAAGAGGTGTGAAGAGGTGTGGGCCTGGTGTGGCCAATCAAGGCAACAAGGTTGAGTGTTTTCTTCAGATGGAATAGAAACCAACCACATCTGGCATGAAGATTATTGAAGATTGGCCTCAGGGTACTAGGTGGTGCAAGAAATCCATGATGTGGTGGGTTTGCTGCCTTGAAGTTGTCCATTGGATTCTTGTGGAAGAAATAAGAATATACACATTGCATATGTAACATTACATTACATTACATTATACTACATTACATTATATTACATTATATTATATTATATTATCTATATTACATTATGTTATACTATATTATACTATATTATATTACACACAACTAGAATCAACATGTGGTATCACTCCTGAAGACGAAACAACTTCTTCCCCAAAAGAGTTTAAAAGACAAAACACGTCCATAGCAAACCAGACAAACACAACACTGCAACATATGGTTTTGCTTCAAGAACCACCACCACAACAAAGAGATGCCAACCTCAAGCAGAAGCAACCAACAAGAAGACACGAGCAAAACAAAGCAACAAATCAACCAATGATAGCTAATGACGCGTCGTCTTCTTCAAAACTAGTTCTACTGATTGCTTGGCCGTCTTGACTCCAGCTGCGGGTTGGGAGAGTCCTTTGCCCGGCGCCAGCAGCCACCGTACTGGCCTTGGAGACTGCCATGCAGAACCGTTGAAGAGCGTCCGGGAGTCCACATTGCTAATAGTTGTTTGTTAGAGGGTCCATTTGCAAGCATTCAGTCAGTATTTTCGTTTCCAACACGGACGATGCAGGGACCAGAAAAACAGACGAGAAGCAGACTGTTGCTGCTTTGAGGATCTGGTACTGGTATTGTTCACTCCGTTCCAGAATGCGAAGATGAGAGGCAACCTGTCTGAAATTCGAGGATCGCGGAGAAAACACTCAAAACTGGATGTCCTTCAGGGAACTCCGCAATCGCCGTTGACCACCCAAGGTGGACATTCCTGTCTGAAAGAAGGGAGACTTCATTGCCCACTATCTTAGATGCACACTTGACTGAGCAAATTCTACACACCTGATACTGGTATCTCGGGCATCCCACACTTGGTCGGAAGGTAGGTCAAAACAAATCGCCTAAATAGCGCATCACGAGCCATGGTGCTGCCAGGAACCCTGCGCGGGAGAGAGGAGTCAATATCAGAGTTACTGCCACATGGATCTCCTGCAAAATCACTGCATGCAAGACGCTATGACAATTACGAACCGTTCTTTTTGGACAATAGATTGCAAAGAAGTCTTGATCACCTTTTCGGTGGAAGCCTTTCGAATATATGATCCGGACCAGGCACCTTCACTGAACTTAGATTGCTCAATGACCTGACGAAGGCAGGCCTCTGAAAATGCCGTTCGCGGTGGTAGCACTCGAACTAGATGAAAGTCATTGGAACATTGCCAGAGGTTCCCCCTGGTTAGGAGATGATGATCGCACCCACAAAGAGTCGCATTCCGGCGAGGTACTACTAGTAATGCCCTTTGCTACTAGTAGCGTCCTTGCTCCTAGTAGCGATGCCCTTTGCTACTAATAGCATATAGCGTCCTTGCTACTACTACTACTACTACTTCTACTACTACTATTACTACTATTACTACTATTACTACTACTACTAGTAGTAGTAATAATACTAGTAGTAGTAGTAGTAGTAGTAGTAGTAGTAGTGGACAAAGAAAGACGCTCATCAATGAGGAATAGCACAGATAATTGGATCAAATTTGATGCACGGCTCTGCAACACAGGTGCATCGGGTCAGCCGATTCGCAGATCGGTGTTTGGCGAAGCCCGCATGATCCCGGAGAAGCCCCTCTGGACATAAAAGACCATAGACAACTAACAGGGAAAACTATGAAGAAAAAGACAAGACGACACCATACAAAATCAATCTGCAGATCCCAGCCAGCAAACTCAGTGAGCTTCTTGGAGCTTCAGGGCACGTCTTTGGTCTCTACTCTACTAATTGGGCTGTGAGAAGAAAAGCAAAAGACAAAACCCCCTGCACTGGGCACGCGCTAGAGTGCTAGAAGGGGGAGCCCTCTGAAGTCCACCTTCAGCCATATTGTTTCTAATAGCTTCTTGTTACTACTAGTAAGGCACTTGTTACTAGTAGCGATGCACTTGTTCCTAGTAGCGTTCTTGCTCCTAGCAGTAAGGTAAGGCCCTTTGCACCTTCAGCCGTCAGGTCTTTCTTATTGTGGTGGGGATGCTCAACCTCCGGGCCACCATGGGCATCGGCGCGCACGGACGATGGGGACCTCATGCGGCCCTGGGCCATGTTTCCTTTCGGGGACCAGCGGTCGATGCAAGGACGCTGTATCTTACAGAAGGGAAGAGCCACATGGCTTGAAGGATTTGTAAGAGCCACACTCTTAAAGAGCCACCTTTCTTCCCTCTCCTCTCCTCTCCTCTCCTCTCCGTTCCTCTCCGTTCCTCTCCGTTCCTCTCCGTTCCGTTCCGTTCCACACATGATGCGCTTGTTTGAGGGAAGGGGGATGCACCACCATACATGATTTGACCCTACTTGCCCAAATCTCAATTCTTGAAACCGATCCAGCAATGATTCTGGCAAATTCATCAGGCCCGGGTTATGCACACCGTGTAAGACTCCTGCATGGTGGTTCAGGGAGTCACGAGTCACTTGAGACTTAAGGGAATTCAGCGGAATTCACATGAATTCACATATCCCTTTTGGAGTGCCCAAGCGCTCATTGAGGCCGTGGTGGGATGTGGCAGCATTCAGCCCAGGAGCGGCAGGGCACCGGCTAGACCCATGCGCGGGAAGAACTTGACCGATCTAAGGGAGAGGGATCAGCGAACGGTAGGTGAAGCAGTTGTAGAGAATGTTCTGCAGGAGGATGATGGATCGTGGGGTCTAGACCAATCGCGGGGTGCCCGAAGGTTGAAATGGACAGATTCACACTGGTTCGGTGTCCCCTGCAGTGACCGGTAGACCGAAGCACGACCCATGTCAGGACCCCCATGATGCCAAGCTTGGACTGCTTGGAGGCTGGGTACTGATTTTGGCCGCAACCACCCAACCGGATGATCAGTGTTGGTGCCATGGGGACATGATTCCCAAATGTCCATCCGAGTCCATGGGCTGCTCCTGTACATCTGAGTTCATTGAGCCCATATAGCTGGCTCTTGAAGCTCTTTATCTAAGCTGCTTGAGCCCTGGTGCTGCTGTTTCTATTGGGCGCCAGGCTCGAGAACGCGACCCAACAGCCTCCTGCGATGATCTGGTGCCGCAAAATGGCGGGACAGACGGGTTTTTGTGGGCTCCATTGAAAGGAAAAGATATGAAAGGAGATCCTTGGTGACCTTTGATGCTTTCATCACCAAGTTTTTCATGTGGATGCCACTACTGACCCTGTTTGGCTGCGTGAGGAATGTGCGTGTGGTCTTCAATGTCTCCCAGGCGACTTCATCTTTTGCTCGGAGGATGGGTGTCCCGACACGGACCGATACCCCCGACACCTCCCCCAGGTCTACCACCTTCTCAGTTGGAGCCCTCTGAGGATGAACCAGACCAAGGACGTCTACGCGACGCCCACCGTTCCGTCTGGTATGCCGTGACGTTGTAGATCTGACAGACACAGGAACCACCGTGAACGGTGCCATCGACCGGTTTCACAGACGGTTTCTGGGTGATTCATTGTTCAGAACCGTTTTTTTTTTAATGAAAAAGACATCTGAAAGATCTCCATATGGGCGAGTTTATTCATTAACACTCAACAGGGTGGACCAGGGAATTCCAAATGCAACTATGATCCATGGTGATGGATATGTAAGGATGTTTGGAGTCTCAACAACTGCAGCCACTAAAATCCAATCACATGAGAGGTCGCTTTTCTCGGAGCCAGGTGGAGCCAGACAAGACCACCCAGGAGCAGTGGGGAGGCCTAGTGTAGGTTCCAGGTGAATTCAGAAGGTCAGGTAGAGGATGCAGGATGGAAGATAGGACCTACGGGACGGGATTTAGATGGGTTTAGCTTGAGATCTAAAGTATGATATAGGAGGGATTGGACTGAACTGGACAGGAGGTCGAACATTTGGGAACGCCCTATTGTCGTGGATTTGAAAGGGGCGTTTCTTCCGTCGTTCGCAGGGTTGCTGCAGGTTGCTGCAGGTCCACAGGTTGATTTGCCCAGCTCGCGGGGTTTTGTCGCACCCAGAGCTTTGCGAACTTTCACCGAGTTCGATGCTTCAGCGGCGCACATACACACACAAACAAACAGACTGGGTTGAGGGACTAGCAAATGAGCCAACAAATGGCTCAAATAGGGAGTCTCCTTGGCAGTTCGACCCGCTGGAAGAAGGAACATGAACAATAATGGACATACCGTTTTAAAGCCTTTTGGTTGATCCGGTTGGGAGGTCTCGCTGCCGTGTTCGGAGCTCTCCCTATGGCTGTGGGTCAGGTCGCACCCGAAGCCCAGTCTCGACCTGAGGAACTTCGTGGTGAAGTTCACGATGAATCAGAGCCACGATGTGCGATACCGAGTGGAGAATGCAGAGACAGGAAGAAGCACAGGTACCGAAGATGGTATGTCTCTTAATATGAGATGGTATGACAAGGTTTGTCTACAATGTCTACAGTAATCTTTAGCTCTTAATTTTACGTGTCTTAGATTCATCACGTGTTTCACTCGTTGATCGCTTTTTTTTTTTCTCGGACTTCCACTGGACCCCGCGATTACGGTACTTCCGTGGGATTCTGATGGACCTTCGATCAGGACCTCGTGGTCCTCCACCTTGGTCCTCAGTCTCTTCGGAAAGTCCTTTACGAGTCGGAGGGATTTTCTGAGACGACTGATTCTCAGATTTCCGGACTCAGGAATTGCTGAACCTTCCGAAATCAGGGCCGTTCGGAAAGTAAGCCAGCAATGCAGCAAGAATGCACGCATTCCCGCATTCCCTTTCGCCGGTGGCACTCCGCATATGGTTGGGATTCTGATTGACACGGGTGTCCCCCTCAAATGGCTTGGGCACATCCCGAATTTGATTTCTTTTTTGGGGTATTTGGGGGTGGAGTGTTCATACTACAGTATCACATTGTGAGGATTCAACTCCGAGAGGGTTCAAACGACCACCAAACCTCTGGCCTCAGACTCTCCAGACGTTGAAGACTCGGAGCGATCCGCGCGTTTTCGCGCATTGGCCCAGCACATGGCGGCACTGACTGAGACGGGCGATGGGTGTGGTGTTTTCCTGGGCCCGAATGGAGCCAGCCTGGATGGAGGTGCTTCGTATGAGGGATCGACAAAGCAGAAGAATCCAGGTCCAGCCAGGTCTTTCCAGGTCCATCCAGATCCAACCATCTGGCACCTGATCCATCCAAGTCGTCAGTTTGATGTTGCAAGGTCGAGGGCGTGAGCTTGTACAACTATCCAAATTATCAGGACCGCATCACTGGAGTTGACCGCGTTCCCGACATGGCTGGCCTCGGGTGTTGGGTGTTGGTTGTCTGTGAGCGACTCAGAAAGTGGACCCCTGAGGACCGCCAAGGTGGCGTCTCTGGGGCATGTTGTTTTCGAACAAAACTCCTTTTGCTGAACTGAAGCCCATCAGCAAAACCCTTCACTAATGACCTCTCCACTCCATTGTTGGCGGTGTTTTTTGCAGCCGTCTCAGATCCTCCCTCGTTGACTCGTTGGGGCCATTCATGTCCTCCTCCGCCAGGATCGCAAGTGCCTCTCCAATGGAGAGTTTGGGGACCCCAACGTCGGATTCCAAACCGCACTTTGGCGGTTTGGACGGGGAGACGGCGCTCCATGATCCCAGGCGCTCCATGTGTATGGAAAAGATGCCTATACATATTTATGATCTATACTTTGTCAACATGATCTGCACCATGATCTAGATATTCAGATGCATGATATATATATATATATATAGATCTGCAACATTTCAATACGTATTGAAGTCATGGTGCACTAGACCCACATGATTTGCACCGCCCTAGACCAATTGGTTTAATCTACTTCCCCTAGTGCGAAAGGAGTCAAGCTGACACATATGTTCTTGAGACACCAGACACCAGCCAATGCTGCAGGGCTCTCCCCCCGCTTGCTCGCTCGCTACCTACCGAATGAACGCGCTGGATCGCTCGACCAAGGTTCTTTTGCGACCCTTACGGCTATCTCAGTCCTTTTGAACGCCGGGACGCTCAGAAGCATGGCGCCATCTCACGGCTTCTCCGCATGGCTTTCTCCGTTGGGATGATGGAGGATGGGCCGGCCCATCGGATCAAACATCCTCCATTGCTTGCCCTGAAAATCCATTTGGTTGATGGGATGCAGCAGCCAACCAATTCAGGCATCACTTCTTTGGCTTTGTTGTTCGTTCGACTTTTGAGCGGGGGCGGACATCTGACACCGCAACGTGTCTCACCAGGACAGAATATCTCAGCAGAGATGGCCAAGTGCGGAGCCCTTTCCGACTTGGGGAGAGGACGAATCACAGTGACGGCCACAAATGATCCATGAACCTCAAGCTAGCCGGATAGCCAGAGAAACGGTGGATACCAATTGGTTGGGGGTTTCTCCCAGAATCCTGGAGAGAACTCCGGATGTTTGTTTTCAGTCGCCCAAAGCGGGTCACATGACCGGCTGGGCCCGCTCCAGAAGGGCGGACGGGCGCGTCGAGGTCGCACGGTGCGGTTACCCCGCGAGCCAGTCGCGGGCGCGTGAAGCGCCCGAGCCAGGTTAAGAGCTCAGCATTTGGTGGTTTGTGAGGACTTGGTCATGGAACCGGCCAGGAACTCGGATGCAGGTGACGAAAGGAGGTGGGGCACTGAATTTGACCCATGGCGTATGAGCGGAGACTTGACTTGGATGGGTGATTGCAAAAGCAAAAGTGGTCAGTGGTGGTGTTCCATTCACATGTCACTACCCTGCCCCAAAGTAAGGTGGAGGCGGTCAGGACGCCTTGCATCTGCTTTCCCTTTTCCATGGTCGCTTCGTTGGATCTGACCGATCTTCTCCGTCATGCGCTTCGTCCATGAATTTTCCTCTCACCCAGAAGAGTTCGAAGTGTTCTCCCGATCTTGAAGCAGATAAGATATGAAACCGCTCACAAATTCACTAGAGAACCCTCCAATTCTTGATATCATGACATGCCTTCTAACTGCTTCTGGATGATTGTAGATTCAGTGCATGAGACACACAATGCCATCTACCGTCGCTTGATTTGCTTGACCGATCCCTGCAATCTAGAACATCTCATCTAAATGGGACACCTCTCAGCTGGAGATTGCTCTTTGGGGGGCTTCATGTGAATGACGCAGATCTGCGCAGCCGCGCAGCGCTGCTCAGATTGACCAGCGACACTTGATGCCCTTCTATGTCGGTGTGGCCATTGCTGAGGCAGAGGCCGGCCTTGTGCGGGTTATGTGCAGAAGCAAAACAATTACACCTCCGTGGTAAGCACTGGTGGTAATACACCTCAGTGGTGACAAATACATGATTTCCAAAGCTCTGGTGCGGTCAAAGCGACACACTGGACAAACTGGGTGTACACCCAGTCAGCGTACACGCGGACAGCGCCACGCGGACGGATTGAATCGGAAAGAGCCTTGCGGACCGAAAGAGGTCGGGTGCTCAGTATGTTGAAGTGCTCAGGCACTGGACTAGTTGAATGGGAAAGACAACAGAATCTTGCTGTGGGGGTAGGGAAATGGACCACCAATGCTTCTCTCTGCCAGATCTCCCCAATACCCCAATCTGGTCACTGGTCCAAGAAAGCCAGTTGGATCTTTTGCACAGGTAGCATTGGCATTCCTACACACAACATCATACTGTCTATGCACATCCCACTCAATTTCCCACCCTCTGGGCTTCTGGACAAGTGATCCCACACTCGTGCCTGCGCATCGAACGCTGGCCCCCCCCCCCCAAAACGCTGGACAACGATCCACCGCCGCACCCGCCGATGTCGCGACCACCCTCCGCAACATCGATGTCGCTACGCGCGCGCCGGTGGAGGCTGGCGGGGGCCCGATGTCGATGTCATCGCTGAAGCAGTATGGCCACCTGATCATGTCCGGCGACTCAGTCGGGGAGGGACACGAAGAGGAGCTGAAGACATGCGGACACGAGGGCGCGCAGAGACGCACCGGTTGTTTCTTTGATTTGGGGGGTTGAGGTTGATTTCGCACTTCTCTCAAAGAAAACGCCTGCGGCATGTTCTGCTGTTTGCAGTGCTTGTCCTCACTGCTTCGGTTGGCTTAGTGAGCCTTTACTAGACGCAATCTGTGACTCCAGTCGTGAGCACTTTGGAAAGACCATCCTGGACAAAAACTTGTCCCCTAAAACAAACATGACCATTGCAAGATGTCTTCCAATAAATGCCAATGAAATCAACACCGTTGGACCAGAGACTCGTCTCGCAGGTCCGAGTGGACGCTTGATTCCTTCTTTGCCAGCCCACCCACCAGTGTCACGCATTGCGGGGGCCCCGCAGTCAGAGACCGAACTGACCGACATGAGCGAGGACAGACCGAGGACAGTGTCTTTCTTAGAAAGCCGGCAAATATCCGGACATGCTGGATACCCAGCTTCAAGAAGGGGTTAGAAGTTTTGAATTTTAATTTTCAAGTCAAATGTTTCAACTTTTTTTTTTTTAAGACCAGATGTTCCATGTGTGCAGTTTCTAGGAGTCAAGTCTGCGGATTGTCATGAAAAAGGTGACAATGACAACGACAACTCAGCAACATTGTTTTTTTATTGTCGAGACAAGATGGCCAGAGAGCAGGGTAGACATGGTGCATGTGAGTTCGGCAGGTCTCAATTCGGGTGACGTGACGCCTCTAGGCGTTCACCAGCTTTGCCTGCTTGGCGACCATGTAAGAGACAACAATCTGTTGCCACCTTTTGCGATGTTTCTGGAAAAACAACTTTGCAGGCCCCAACAAGGCACTCTTGCTGGTGCTGCCGAAGAATGGACAGGCGCGAGGATTGGCACAAGTCTAAGCCATCCAAGAAGCCTTGGGACTTGGGAGCCTTGGATTCTATGCACTTAAGCAAGTGCAGAGTGCCCTACTTGTATGAGGGGATATGACAGGATATGATCAAATAAATTAACATCACCCGCTCCCACCTGGGACAGGAACGATTCCCTGGTCTGGGCCCTGGTGAGCATTCGACATATGGTCTTCGACATGGTCAGCTGCTCCCTGAACCCCGCCTGACTGAGAGGGTCGTTTGGTCCAGATTGCTTGCAATTTGTCAGAGTGAGGAGATCTTGGATTGGCTGAAACACCCAGCAGCACAGTGAATCTTGGCCCAGAGATCCGTGTAGAGGGACACGATGTTTCGTTCAGATCGAAGGAATCCTTTTCACCTTCTTTTATTCCTTATTTTTGGCATGCTGTGTAAGCACGATTTCACACCCTAGGACCAAGCGAATTAAGAGCACTATATACAGGCTTTAAGGGTACCACTTGAATAGGATCCTTTGACCAGTTGATTTTCAGTGTTAAATTGAAGCCAATCCAATCTTCTAGTGGACTTGACAGCGGACTGGATGTGGGTTGTGTGAGCCAACTGGCAGCGGACCAGGCTGCCTTGGTCACTGACAGTTGCCACTATCTCTGTGAGGCGCGGGTGGTAGGAATTCATGTTTCCAAGCTAAGGCGCTGGTCTCGGACCTGTGGAGAAACCCAAAACAGCTGTTCGGCCGCCATTTTTGCCTCTCCAAAATGGGAAGCCTCCAGAACCAAAACACAAACATGAACCACATGCTTTGCTTCTTGGCAAGCACTTGGTATGTAATATGTAATATACCTGGCCATTCCTGTCGTTTTGCAGCAATCTTCTGCTCGGATTGCATGAGCCAATCCGTTTTCATTCCGCAAAGTAACAATCCTTCTACGCTCCAAACACATCACATGGAAGTGGGGCTTGCCGTGTCGGTCAAGGAAGGTACTGTCAGAGTGTTCGAAGCACGGAGCGAAGTTGTATGGCTCGGTGCGTGGCCGGCAGGACCGCAGCAAAAGTGGGCAAACGATCGAGACGCAGATGAAGAGTCATACAGTGGCTGGAGCTGTCCGGGTCCTGGAGCTGTTCGTTGATGGCTTTTTTCTTCCAACTCAAGCAACATGCTCAGACGGCAGATAAACGCTCCAGGCCACCACAGAGTTTAGCCTTCTCAGTGGCAGGATCCGCAGACAAGGGGCTCGCTTCAAATTTGAACGACGGAACACTGATGTTGTGGGTTGGTAGGATCAGCCCGGACATTTCTGAGACCATCTGTGCCCTCGTTGGTCGCTGTGTGTCGCTGGGTGGAGGGGCTTTTCATGGACCCGGCGGGTCTTAGACCGCTCGTCCTGCCAATCTTGGTCCGGGATTTGGATTGGAGACCACGCGACTTGGCCATGGGGCAAGGCCGTTGGACAATTCTCTTGAGTAGAAAATATGTGACGTATACGATAGTGGCCTGGCGGATCAGACAAACATAAGCTAGCTTTCGATCCAGCTATACCCCACACCAGACGGGCTCAAAACAGCCAAGAGTGGTTGAGCTGATTTGACCTGGAGGTTTTGCGCAATATGGACTTTCCACTTTGGGCAGTTGAGTGTAACAGATATTCCCCCCCCACACATGCAAACCATGAACACATCATCGCTGTCTACGCCAACTCGACCCCCCCGACGGCCAAAGCGGCCGCGCCGCGATCTCCACCGGCTCCAGGTGCTCGCAGGACTTCGCGATGCATACACCAGCCTCCCAGTCTCGGTCGTACAGGGAGAGGCCGGTGCGACGGACCAGTCGCGCCTGACCGAGGCCCTGTGTGGTCACGATGCCATGGTCCTCTAAAGGTCATCCACATGATATCACTCAGGCTTTCTTGAACCTGAAATGCCTTGAATCTCCGGGAATTTTGATAGTTCCTGTAAGAGCCAGTGGTCTTCGATGCCTGAAATGGGTGAGACGGTGCTTTGAAACACCCTTTCAGAAAAGCATCTATTGGAAGGGCCGGTTTTTCAGCACTCCGGTTTTCTGGGATCTTCCAGTGTCCGGACGGGTTCCGTTCAAGCGTGATCCGGACGAAACCCACGGCGGGATTCCAGCGGTCGAAGACTCTGATGTTCCAAGAGGGGTCCTTCATTCATCTTTGTGAGCTCGAAGTCTGAATCTCCCACAAAGTTGGAAACGACATGGGCCTTGGCAAAAAGAGACTTCCATGCTTTTAGGCCTTGCGAAAAGACCTTGCTTGGAGTCTTGGAATTGGATCTGAGTCTGTCTGTGCCGACACCTGTTTCTTCAGGACATGCCTCCTGTGAAACCATTGCAGGCGCATCATCGGCATACAAGCATACAGGGGCAGGTTACATGGAGAATCCAGTCAGGTTGGCCTGGCTCTAGATGGTTCATTGTCGCCACCAGAAGGTACCTGAATATGTTGTGTGCCTTAATGATCCTTAATGTGCCTTAGGCGCCCCAACGGTTTCTGCTCCGGGGGTCTTTGGGGGTCAAGAGACCTTCTAAGATGCACCGGAGGACCTTCACAATGCCTATAGCGGAAATGACCTCCTCCTGGTGCTTGGAGGTTTTTCCACCATCCCAAGCGGTCCGTTCTCGCTCATTTCAAAGCAGACATTGTGATTGCGAAAAAACGAAACATGGGATGAGCTTTCAACTTTTCACCCAAAGGCACGTGCTCTTTCATTGATGTGGAGCGTGCGTTTTTGTTGAAGAAGAGCCCCATGCTGTTGCTGAATCCATGCTGAGTGCTTCCAGCGAGCAGCAAGCCAATGTCAGTGGAACGCGGTTTTCATGGATTAATGGGTCATTGCTAATTAAAGCAATCCAAAGTCAGTACCTTTCCCCTTCCCATTCAATTGCAAGTCATTGCCCCAAAAATTCCATGACAAAGCCCATACCAAAGGTCATAGGGGATTTCTGTGGCTGCCAGGAGTCCACTGAGACGTCAACGACGTCCGCCGAGACATGGGTGCTCTTTATCCAACGTGTCGGGGTGCCCAGGGCAGGTTCGTTCGCACCGACCGATGTGAATCAGCAAGAGAAGACTAGATCTGCTATCAGCTACCAAAAGGGGTGGAGGGGGGCAGCCGCGTGTGCAGATCGATGCAGTCTTGAAGCTGCCGCCGATGAGAAAAAACAACGTACCAAAGAATCGAAGATCGCCAAGCACCCAAAACCCCCAAGGCAGGTCTGATGGTTGGCCCAAAGGAGGCACCTACAGCGGTTTCAGAGTAGATGGCGCAATCCCCAAAGGGTGGCTTATTTGGACCCCTATATAAAGACATCTTTGGGTGCCAGTGTGATCGATTCTGAAACCACTGTAATCAAATATGGAGATACTTAACGTTGGCAAGTTTTGAGTTGTGTAGTTGACGCCCAACTTACCGAACTCTTGTGCTCTTGGGTTTTCATCCTGCCCCGTGCAGCTGGGGGGGTTGTCCAAAATCCACAAATCCATAAACCCATTGGGTTCGATCGATCTGTTCGTCCTGGAGGCCATCTTTGCCTTCGCGGTGATGGCGCTGGGCTTGAGCTTTGCCGTCGGCTTCCTGGCCACTTGGAGAGGTCCCAGAAAGTGAGAAGAAGAACAGGGTGAAGTTACCATGGACCATTGGGATCATCCACTTTCTGCGTTTCAAGGGCTTTCGGTCGGGGTGCGAAGACGAGTGCAGGCCGTGCGACCGTGGGTTGGGGCGCATGGTCGGGTGTCCCCTTCAGACGTTCGGTGTGCAAGTGAGTAGCGTCCGAACGCTCCTAGTAGCGATGCCCTTTGTTCCTAGTTTAGTATAGCTTCTTGTTACTAGTAGTAAGGCCAGGAGCTACTAGATGCTACTAGTGCCTGTATTCTGACAACAGGAGCCCTACTTGAGCAGCGGCCAAAACTTCCCAAGTAGCAATTGGAAGAGAGGTTAATGTATTATGCCTTCGCGAAAGCAAAACATGCAGTCGCGAAAGATCCGCGAAAGATTGTCCAAACTTTTCATTGGCGAAACCTTGCGAAAGCTCCGGACAGTCGGCAAAAGCTTGCGAAATCAGTTCCGTCCCCGAAAGCTTGCGAACGTGTTTTTGTACAGAATGCAGCGTGCGAAAGCCAAAACTCAAGTGTTGCGAAAGGAACTTGCAAAAGAAGAGCCCATTAGAACAACTACTCGATAGGTTTTGAGCAATGCTCACTTGTTACTTGTACTAAGAAAGTCTCCTCATCGCCTCATCACTAGCTCTTCATGGGTTGCGAGGGTTTTCTTTGATAGGCTTTGATATTTGACATGTATGAAGATTTGGGATTTGCATGGATTTGCTTTCACCCATCACCCCTTGTAGCAAGGCGCTTCAGAACAATGCGTGTTAGTGGGGGGCGCCGACCCCCCAAAAAGTATCATAGGAGGATGCACCCCAACCCCCTCATGCTTGACAGAGGAGCTCTCGACAGGGAGCGCACATATTCCACTTCTGTGCGTTTCCACATGTCGAAGTGGTGGAAAAGATCCGTCGACGATTTCATACCATTTCGTTTTCCTAGTAGAGAGATTAGTCTTCAAGACAATGATTTTACGAGACGGCTTGTCTTTCCAGAACAACCATGTACATTCCCTGAAAAAATCCATGGAAGTGGAGTGAAAGCCGAACACCACCTGTTTGGTCTTCGGATTTTTTATTCATCCCAAACTCCAATGTGGAGCCGACTGAGAGGACTGTTTGGAGGCACTGAGGCACTGAGGCATCTGAGATGAGGTGTGTCGGTGGGAAGATCACTTGATCTTCCAACGGGTCGACCCGGAAGGCTCAGTTTCATTGCGTTTGGACATGTCTCTTATATATAAGAGAACGGAGACGGTGGCGACGCCGGCGACGCCGTTTCGGGAAAACGACGCTGTTTGCTGAGGTCGATGTGTTAGACAACGACGCTGTTTGCTGAGGTCGATCGCTGCATGAATCGCTTGGCCTTTCGCAGGCATTTGATCAGCTCAATCCCCTGCCGGACGGCCCCGAACGCGCACGAGCCACAATCAGCCCAACCACCCACGTGGGTTCAGATAGCAGGACTGTGCTCAGCTTTCGTGCCTATAGCTGCAGACATCGAAGACATGCCACAGTTTCTTGGTGTGCCTGCGGTGAAAGTGAAGAACACCTTCATTGACGTGGAGGAATCGCCGAAGGAGACGAGTGAGCTGTGCCGGAGGGCCAAGTCGATGCCTCCAGCCAGCAATGCAAAAGGCAAGGGTAAGGGCGAGGAGGAGGATGAGGAAGATGACAGTTATGAGAGTCATGAAAGCCAGGAGAGTCCAGAGTATCCAGAGTATCCAGAGTATCCTGAGTATCCAGAGTATGGAGAGGAGGGAGAGGAAGCAGAGGAAACCAATGACGGAGATGTCTCTTCTCCGATTTCTCTACGTGATACTCATTACTCCGAATCGCCGAGACCCACACAGGATCGACACTTTCCATCACGTTTAGCATCCTGGCCATTTATCCCGGACCCGATGATGGTGCTTCTGCCCGTTCCCCCAACACCACCAGGGGCAGCAGCTAAGAGTGACGATATTGAGGTGAACGATCCTTGGATTGAACTATGACAGCTTTGAAAAGAGCCCCCAATAGCATGGTACCGCTCAATATAATATATAGCTTTCTTCTGAGCACCATCATATATCATCATATTATCATATTTGGTAGGTGTTAAGATGTCTTACAACTTATAGCCATCAGTTGGGAGGTCTAGACAATTCCTCTTGTTCCACTCCAAGATTCACACCGAACCTGAAAACATACCTTGTGTTTTGAATTTTGCACTCCCTTTTTTTCGGCTTCCGTCGACCGTTGGAATTCGGTTCCATGTGTTAGGAGAACAAGTTGATGTGCGATTTCGATTCGACCAGCGGTGCCTACCATGTGACCTGGACCATTGATGCTCGGAAGCTCGACAGCAACGACAAGCAGGCGGTGTCCCCATCCTTCGAGATGTCCTGGAAAGGCGCCAAGTCGGAAGAGCCGAAACGCGGAACGACGGGCAGCGCGACCGTGATCCGCGCGACCGCGCGGACCGGGCAAGGGGAATGTAGTCCTTTCTAATCCGAATGTGGCGGAGGGGTATCTGCAGATTGAGCCTGTAGCTCAAAGTTCATTGATATGGTCGTAGCAAAAAAAGTAGTTTGGTGGAGAAGAACAGCTTCCAAAGAAAGAGCTGTTCAGGATTTTCCAGCTCCACGTTGAACAGCAAGATGATAAACTGCTTGGCAGATGAAGCACCACATGTTGGCACATTGGTATTTAAGAGCTCTTTGGACCACCACCAGCTCGGTTCGCTCGGTTCGCTCGGTGAGAGCCTTCTCGCTTTCTTCGGAGGTGAGGAACCGAAGGTCTTCAAAGTGATGCTCTTCCCCGAGGCCGCGCCAGGACCGAACGACTTCGGTGGGAGCGGTGGTGGGAGCGGTGGGAGGGGGGTGGTCATAGTTTTTACTTTATTTTTTTTCTGGACAGCGGTGCTGGGAAGTTTAGCACTGTTTCTTTTTTTTTTTGAATATTTCTGAAGATCCAGCATGAGGTGAACTTCACCAAGTTTAAGGAGGATTCATGTCTTTAGTTGCATGAAATGAACCTTGATGGCGGATGGCCTCTAGTGAACTTCAGATGAGTTGCAGGATGCCACAAGGTATATTGAATCTAGAACCCGAGTGATATCTTTGTTGCAATACCAACCACCCCAAAATAGAGTATTTTCCTATCAAAAAGGTGTCAAATGGTTTTTGATGTTCATGCGGTGCACCTTCTTCTGGCTTCGCAACGCAATCGTTTGCCCCACGAGTTCCACCAGTGAGTGCACGAACCAGGATCGAATGGTATGTATATGTATTCAATGTATTCTTATTGATGACAGGATTGATGACATTGATTGATGGATATTGCTTTCATTGGCTGCCATCCCATGGAATTCAATCTCCAATCCCCCAGCACTGACTCTCGTACCTTTGTTTGTGATGTCAACTATACTATATGCTTGTAGGTAGCACCGTGGCCAGACGGTGGTTGAAAGAGGGTCTCAACAAAAAGGCATTGTTCTTTTGGCGCCATTTTCGATAAACCCGCACTGTCAGGAGTCCGAGGTGCCTACAACTTCAAGAAGTCCCGAGGACGCTCATACATCCGTTTGAAGTGCGAAGATGAGATTTGCTCTTCCACTCTGGCCACCGTACGGCTGGCCATTGGCGAGGAGGTTCGTGGTCCAGTGAGGCACGACTTTTTACAGAGCGTCACCTGTGGCTTGCCGAAGAAACATTCCGTTTGGGACTGCAAGAGGCTGTGTGATGGGCTTTTGAGTTTTCCCGTGACACTGGACATCTTGCCGTTTGAGCGGCCTGAGAGCATCAAGATTTGAGAACTCTCATAATTCACCCCTACAAATTGGGGTGATCAAAACCTCCTCCCTCAGAAAGACGAAATCATGTTTCTTGCTTGAAGATGATTCTGTCAGCTTCTTTGTTCACGTTATTATTGTTTTTCCCGAATGCGTAGCGAAGGGTTCCCGTTTATAGTTGGGGGTCTGGGGGTTGGAGCTGTGTTCGCGTGGCGTGCGTCGTGTCGTCGTCTCTCGTCGTCTGTCGTCGTCTGTCGTCGTCTGTCGTCGTCTCTCGTCGTCTGTCGTCGTCTGTCGTCGTCGTCGCGTCTCAAATTTGCTGCCATTGGGGGAAGCTTTTGCAAGTGACTTTGCATGGACGTGTCACGTGTCAGTTTGCGCCGCTATTCCATTGTGATTTGCATGACACCGACATGTCGCGCAAGAAACGTGATACGTTTCGCTGCACAGGTGCAGCGTTTTGTGAGATCCGCAGATTGCTGCGCAGTTCCATTGGGATTAGCGTTTGGAGAGTCGTGTTTTTGGGGTGTTGGATGTGGCCGTGCCATTGGGATTTGCGTTTCAGGGTGTGGCATCGAAGCTCTGTTTTCGTGACAAGTCTCAGCTGAAATGGCGATTTTGATGGATGGGAGTGTGCTCTGAACGGGTCGAAATCATTCCAAACGTGTGGTGTGGTGCAAATTTTGTTGAAGCTCACATGCGATGATATTGTCACTTTTCGTGGCAGGCGCAGGACTTCGTGCGGGCTTTGAAGCGCGGAAGTGCAATTCTCGTGGCAGGCGCAGGGAATCGTGAGGTTGTGAGTTGTGGTAGAGGTGAATGTCGCTGCCCCATTGGGATTGGCGTGTGAGCGGATGTTGTTTGGAGGGGCTGGAATCGCGAAACTGCTTGGCAGGGCTGCGTGATGTGTGTGCTCCGATGGGTGTTTCCGCTTGACTTTTGGAGGAAGTCTCGTACGAAACGCTCGTTTTGCAGACTTTGACGTGTGAGTTTTTGAGGAAGTCTCGTACGAAACGCTCGTTTTGGAGACTTGACGCGCAACCCTCTGCGGAGATCGTGCGTGTCGAGTGCACCAAATGCAGGCGAGAGTGCGATTTGTCCCATGCGCGCGCAACCCTCTG